GAGCGTAAATGTAGCCTTCGAACCACTGCTTTGTTAAATTTGCCATTTTGAATAAAAACAAAACTTTCAGGCCACAGACGATAATTTTGACTTTTAAAAACATAGTACAATTGCAATTACTTCTTTTGCAGCGAACGATTTTTTATTACCGCTTACCAAAATCGTCTAAAAATGTACGAACAGCCTCTGTATTTTTAAAGTATGCACTGTGAAGAATGGAAGCATCACTTTCTAAAGTAAAACATTTGCCATTATTATTTTGCATTTAAACACATACAAAAAAGGCATTATCGCATTCTTCCGTGCGTGTTTTCGCGGCGTATTTCTGACACTCTCTCAAGGAACGACTGTTTACCAAATCTAAACGATAATTTGAAGATCCACTATCCTTGGCGAGAGCACAGCATGTTTCCTTCCTCAGAAAATCCTTATACTCTTTACTCTGAAAAAGGTATCGAATTTCGTTAATAACAGTGTTTTGTTGTCTTAGCAAGCCTTTTCTAATTTTAGCCAAAAGGGGAAATTTGCCCAGAAGGGCTATTAATTTCGTTTTGATATTTTGCGTTGGTTCACTATAAACGGCGCTTTACTTTTCAAATTGTTGCCACTAAATATTACAGCCCTGCATTATATTTAAAGAAATAAAATAATGAAGAATGTGCATGAATGTAAGTATGTTCTCACACTGTGAAAAAACAACGATACTTAGAGACATCGGATTTTGAATAACGTAGTCCTCCACTCGAATATGGGCATCTGGAAGCCCAAATTTGGAATTGTTTTATTATCTATATCCCATTTTGTAACACCTTAACGAATTTTTTATTAACAAATTTAACGATTTCAAAGCGAGCAATGGCAACACTGTACGGATAAAAAAAACCTTTTTATCTCCAGCGCGCGAGACTGTGTATCCAAAATTCTAAAGATATGCTCTTTTAAATTGTTTTGCTATTGAATTGAATTTTATAGTTTAGGTGCGAAGAACTTGATATTAAATAAATAAAGATAACACACAAAACGTTAAAAGACGCCTCTTTGGGCATAACATAAAATCCGAAGCTTTCAGATTAAAAAAAAAAAAAAAAAAAATTATACATTTAAACAATGAAGAAGAAATGACTGGAAAAGAAGGTTTTTCCTTGTTAATGGAATAACATACCAGCATCCTTTATCGTTATAACACGAATTAATTGCAGTATTTTTATGTTCTAATTATTGCACCTTATTTTTGTGAACCAAATCATAATTTTAAAATAGCCTTATAGCTTTATTTTGAGATCTTAGAATATGTGTCATACCTACAGGAACATGCCTAAACATTTAAATTTATTCTGAATATACATTTTACTAAAATATATAACACATTTTTATTGAAATATGTATTAATAACGTAATTAACGACATATTAATAACTTAAAAATTATTCTACTTAAATTATTTGATTTAACATGTATTTAGAAATCTTTGAATATTACTGTATTTCTGAACTTAGAGTATTCTACCTCTACATGAGAGTTTTATATTTTGAAAACTATTTCAATGAACAACTTGTTTTGATATAGTTCAGGTTTCGATTAAATCAGCATCGGATGCTTCAGTTTAGAAAATGTTTACAACCGGAGAATTCTGACTTCCTTTCAAAGATCTGAATTGCATAATGGATTCTACAACGAGAATTAGATTATATTATAATAAATGAACATTTTATCTTGCATCTCTTGGGACGGTTTTCAAAATAATTCTTAAGTTATGCCTGCTTTTAATTCGAATCTTCGAATACAATATGCATTTCTTTTAATCTGAGTATTAGGATGCGGTTGCTTCCAAACTGAATCATGTTAAATCCAAATACTAACATAAAACTACCTCCAACTTAAATAATTTTCATTCTGAATACTAGATGATTGTAAGATCTCGTGTAGTTTATTAACCAATTATTTTATGTTAATTCACTTTCCTATCTTCCTCGTTTCTCATTTTCATGTCAGCGATGTAAATTTAAAACTCGTGTCATATTCAAAAAAGGTAGAAAGGAGATAGTATTTAAAGGAAGGTTTTTAGAGAGTAGAATCAGAGCGTGTTCTGGCTGCTGAAGGCCACGTTGCTAAATTGATTCTCGTGATAGTAGTAGTCTGCGGCGTTGTGTAATGTCTCGCCATTAGGTTTATCACGCCGACCTCAGATCGGAGCCAACTTGCTCAGGCCATAATCAAACAGTGCTATATTTTATAAGCACACGTGGTACCTTCTGTTAACTTTCTGTTTATTTGAGTTAAATAAACGAGTCCTTTACATCTTTTTCCCTGTCTGTGTGGTACTTTACAAGACATAGTGATAATCGACTTCGAGTGTTTAGAACGTTTCGTATGTTTTATGCTTCCAAAGAACACAAGACATTGTAAGGTATCTGTTTTCAATTGAAATTATTTTCAGTACGAATATTGTGATTTGTGTGTTTTTAATATGAATGATCTTCAGTCCGATACTAGCATGCAAGTGCTATTAATTCAAACGATCTTCAGTATGAATACTAGCAAGATCCTCCCTATTACCTGAGTACTAACTAGCATGCGTCTACCTTTAACATGAATAAGTTTCAGTCCGAAAACTAACATGAGTCTGCCTTTAATTTATATTACTTTTCAGTGTGAGTACGAACATACGTCTGCTTTTATATAGATAAACTTCCGTCCGACTACTAGAATGCATCTGCTTTAACTATGAATAATCTTCATCCGAATGCATCTTTTTTTAATTAAAATCATTTTTAATCCGAATTTCTATAACGACATTTTACATGTTATTCAATTCGGGATAATTTAGAACAATGTTTGTAAGACTCATTTAGCATTTTTAAATGCATTATAGTGCTTTTGCTACACATTAAATAATTAAGATGAAGTAATTGCGATTCTGATCAAAACCCAGCAACTGTTAAAAGACAATACTTATATTATTCCCTCCCAGATTGGTCACTATTCAAAGTGATAAAATGTTATTCTTATTCGTGTGTTAGTCAAAGGTGTGTCAATGTTCATGGAAAAAGAAAAACTATTAAGAGGAAATAATTCAGATCTTGATCATCAAAATTCAGTACCTGTCAAAGAGCAAATACTTAGATTATCCCCCTCCAAACTGGTCACAATTTATAAAATTTTATCTTTTAGAAGGTGCTAAAATGTTGTTTTTATTGGCGTGTTTGCCAAAGGTGTGTCAATGTTCATGGGAAAAAAAAACAGTTAAGAGGAAATAATTGAGATCCTGATCAAAATCCAGTACCTCTTAAGAGCAAATACATAAGATTCCCCCCCCCCCAGACTGGTCCCAGTTTATCTTTTAAAAAGTGCTAAAATGTTGTTCTTATTTGTGTGTTTGTCAAAGGTGTGTCAATGTTCATGGAAAAAGAAAAACTATTAAGAGGAAATAATCGAGTCCTGATCATCAAAATCCAGCACCTGTTAAAGAGCAAATACTTAGATTATCCCCCCCCCTCCAAACTGGTCACAATTTATAAAGTTTTATCTTTTAGAAGGTGCTAAAATGTTGTTTTTATTGCTGTATTTGTCAAAGGTGTGTCAATGTTGATGGAGAGAAAAAAAAAAAAAAAAAAAAAAAAAAAAAAAACAGTTAAGAGGAAATAGTTGAGATCCTGTAAGAACAAATACTTAGATTCTCCCCTTCCCCAGACTGGTCCCAGTTTATCTCTTTCAAAAAGTGCTAAAATGTTGTTCTTATTCGTGTGTTTGTCAAAGGTGTGTCAGTGTTCATGGAAAAAGAAAAACAAGTAAGAGGAAATAATTGGGATCTTGATCATCAAAATCCAGTACCTGTTAAAGAGCAAATACTTAGATTATCCCCCCTTCCAAACAGGTCAAAATTTATAAAGTTTTATCTTTTAGAAGGTGCTAAAATGTTGTTTATATTGGTGTATGTCAAAGGTGTGTCAATGTTCATGGGAAAAAAAAAAAACAGTTAAGAGGAAATGGTTGAGATCCTGTAAGAACAAATACTTAGATTCTCCCCTTTCCCAGACTGGTCACAATTTATAAAGTTTTACCTGTTAAAGATCAAATACTTAGATTCCCCCCCCCAGACTGGTCACAGTTTATCTTTCAAAAAGTGCTAAAATGTTGTTCTTATTCGTGTGTTTGTCAAAGGTGTGTCAGTGTTCATGGAAAAAGAAAAACAAGTAAGAGGAAATAATTGAGATCCTGAGCATCAAAATCCAGTACCTGTTAAAGAGCAAATACTTAGATTACCCTCTACCCCAGACTAGTCACAGTTTATCTTTTAAAAAATGCTAAAATGTTGTTCTTATTCGTGTAATTGTCAAAGGTGTGTCAGTGTTCATGGAAAAAAAAAAAACAATTAAGAGGAAATGGTTGAGATCCTGTAAGAACAAATACTTAGATTCTCCCCCCCCCACACACACTGGTCACAGTTTATCTTTTAAAAAGTGCTAAAATGTTGTTCTTATTCGTGTGTTTGTCAAAGGCGTGTCAGTGTTCATGGAAAAAAAAAAACAATTAAGAGGAAATAATTGAGATCCTGATCAAAATTCAGTACCTGTTAAAGAGCAAATACTTAGATTATCCCCCCCCTCCAAACTGGTCACAATTTATAAAGGTTTATCTTTTAGAAGGTGCTAAAATGTTGTTTTTATTGCTCTATTTGTCATACTTAGATTATCCCCCAGACTGGTCACAATTTATAGAGTTTTATCTTTTAGAAAGTGCTAAAATGTTTTTCTTATTCGTGTGTTTGTCAAAGGTTTGTCAGTGTTCATGGAAAAAGAAAAACAATCAAGAGGAAATAATTGAGATCCTGATCAAAATCCAGTATCTGTTAAAGAACAGATACTTAGATTATTCCCCCCTCGCCCAGACTGGTCACAATTTATAGAGTTTTTATCTGTTAGAAAGTGCTAAAATGTTGTTCTTATTCGTGTGTTTGTCAAAGGTGTGTCAATGTTCATGGAAAAAGAAAGAGAGGCACACTGAACAGGAATCTGTGTCAATTTATTGCCCTCCTACTGACCTGCTCCCTAATAACAAATCAGAAACCAACCAAAACACAACACTCTGACAACGGAATGGGCTGAGAAGAGGGGAAGGGTGCGCTTAGCGACCCGTTTCCCCAAATTTAAGGGGTTGGGGTGAGAGAGTGAGGAACGATGGCAAAATGTCCAAAAGTAGCCGTGCCTCACCAATAAAACTTATGTACAGGGGTAAAAACTATTCTGCCTTTCATAAAAAATACGCACTATTTCAAAAAACACAAGTCAGTTTTCAGTTTACACAGTAAATGGCAAACGTAAACAAATGAGGTATATCTGGTTATGTTAACACTAATAAGATACAAAAACACAAATTGCAAAATATGGTAAATTCATAATTACAAGTAACATTTGATATTCTTGATTTTTTTTTTTTTGCCCATTTTTAGAATAAACAACATTGTTACATAAAGTCAACGGGAAAAACAAAAACACAGTTCTCTTAAGCATTTATTATTATTATTTTCTGAAGTAAACTTTGTAACAAACAATCAAGGACCCAAAAAAAAAAAAAAAAAAAAAAAAAAAAAGAAAACACACATATATGTAATAAAGATAAAGAAAAAAATAGCAACATGCACAATAATCGTTTACCTTATCATTTTTTATTAATCTTTTCAAAACGCCAAAATATAATAAAAAATTTGAATTAACAATCTAACTGAGATCTATTGCTTTGAGGAGCCTGCTTTAACATGCAGATAGTTAGATAGAATACCTTTCTTCTTCATCGGAAAACAAACAAAATATTTCTTTTAAAAAACATCTTCTCAAACAAGTAACTTATTACACTGCTTATAAGCATTCACCGAAAGAACGGTGCACAAAAATAATAAATCCCAATTGAGAATGGGCGTTTTGGGAAGGGAAAGGCGAAGAAGGGACAAACAGAAAGAGCTATAAGAACTTAAATATAATTAACAAACTAGCACCATAATTATACGAAGCGAGGGCAGCGACTGACTAGGGTCAGGAGCAGTATAGATATCAGTGAATATTATTCCCATTTCATTTTGAGGTAGCGAGTGTAAGCACACCATTGTAAAAGCGTACCCACCGACCATTACTTTGTGCTCTTAAATTATTTTTTTTCTTGTTAAATATATGGCATAAACCTTTGACAATGAAACGGTCCTCAAAATATTCACTCGTGATCATAGAGGTTATAGTTAATAGAATTATTAATGGGAATGGAAAAAACGTCCCTGATGTTTAGCACGGCGCCGGGATCGCGGCCTCTGTCCAAAACCCAGGAAACGGAGGTATTAAATATTATACACACCTACCCGCATTAACCTCGCCTGGATAGAAGACTCGGGTTCGGCACATCCCAGACGCCAGACACAAAACGGAGAAAAATACACGAAACACAATATGTCTATGGCGTTAATATCGTCTGCTATACACGGAGTTTGATACTCATTTTTAAATGCATGATATGAAAAATATATGGAGTTTGAAGTGCGCCCCGGTCAGGGCTGAGAGGGGTTTGCATCTAAGCAACGTTTCGGACCAGAGTTCACAGCAGGGGGCGGCGACAAGGGGAGAAATAAGACGCCGGGGCGCAATGCAGGGGAACCTGGCACTTCAGTAAGGGTGTAGCTTGTTTTGGGCCCCTGCATTAGCCCCAGGCTTTATAATGGATTTAATACGCACGAGAGAAGAATCCCTTTGGTCAGGTTGGAGAAAATACACACATCTAGGATTAATTCATTCATTCATAATCAAAAAACGAGGTAGATTAATAAAAATATAAAATATGTACAAACTGACACATTGATAAAAGAATACAAAACAGAACTCTCTCTACAAATGCTCTTTGAATATCGAGTGGGTCAAAAAAGAAAAATCTTTGGATTATTTTACTTTAGGTTAGAAAAACAATTAATTAGCTAAAATCATAAATTGAGCAAATAAGTTCATGATTTGGTAACTCAAAAAACGATCCTTCATTAATTAAAAATTGATAATGAATAAAGAAAAAAAAATACGGTATAGAACCATTTAACATTTTTAACAAATATTTCATATAAATTTGACATACTTGGTAAACACATAAACAATTATGTATTGCACGATGCCTTGTTTAATCCAACTTATAAATTTTCAACACATCACAATTTTTAACAAATATAATTTTTTAAAACAGCTGATTACTAATTTTCAAACTAAACCTGACCAAAGGGAGGAACTTCTCTTCTCCTACAGTCATTTAACAAATGCAATAATACAGTAAAAAGCAAAATATAATGTCTGAAAAAATTCTAAAGTGCAATCAGACTTGTCGCAAATATATATCTGTATATATATATTCTGGGCCAGATAAATGAAATTTTATACATTCACTGGCCTAAAACTTTACCTATAACATGACAGAATATAAGTAACATTGACAATTAACATTTTCAGCACATAAAGACAGCATGAATAAGCACATAAGACAGCATGAATAATCTATTCAGAAATCAATTTCCATCTTGTAGGAAAGAAAATAAAAACAATAGCTTTACATTTTTTACAAAACGAGCACTCTGTTTACTTATTTGCTTTCTCGTAATTACAAAATACTAACTCATTTTTTACATTTTTTTTTAAACCCATCTTCAAAATTTACTTTTTAAGAAACACTTCGCTTACTTATTTGCTTTCTCATAATTACAAAATACTAACTCATTTTTTACATTTTTTTTAAAACCCGTCTTCAAAATTTACTTTTTAAGAAAAACATTAACTCAAGTGGCGAATAATAATACATTTCGTATTTAGTTTGTGGGTGAATATTTAATGACTTCACACATTTGATTCAATTTGATTCAATAAATTTGATTCAATGCATTTCAAAAATCACACAATTCTTAAATCTCCTTATAAGAATTATTGTGATGATCCAAAATACACCAATTTGCTTACATTAATATAAAAAACAAACATCTTAACTCAGAGTGCTCGCTTTAAATGAAGTTCTAACCAGTATTTTACACAATAGTTTAGACTTATAAACTAACAGGAAATAAGAAATAATTAAAACAGCTTTTACAAACAATTTGCTCTTGGATGACAAGGCAAATCAAAAGTGCAGTTTCACATTCAACAAGCAAAACATAAATGCACAATGAAATATTCAAATTCAATTATACACCATTTCGATGACGTTTCTCGTGATAAATACTATAATAATTATAATAATGCATGAAAAAAATTAACAAGTCATTTCCTTTACAAAAAGAAGAATCGACAACAATTATCAAACCTCTGTACCAAATATAGTCTCGATTTACAAAGTTCAGATTGAATCAATAATCGTCATAAAAAGCACACAATTCCGTTTTACTGTTAAATCCATTGGTCAAGATGAATTATGCAGCCGATTGAGACACCTATCATCGGAAGAGCTGGCCACTCTACACACATTATACAACGATAAAATGTATTGAAAAGATCACGGAAAATTGAAAATAAAAATGGTAGAAAAATGACAATCTTGGTAATAAAAAATGTTGCTGATTACAAGCAAAATTTTGATGAATTAAATCCAGTATATTAAGAATGAATCTACATTTGCCATGCAGTTGGATACTATCGAATTATTAATGCATTGATGTAGATTTACGAAGTATTTTTTTCCTGAATAGTTCAAAATTGGCACATCTCCTTTTTCTGCCAAATAATTTTAATTTTATTCGGTATAGCTAATGAAAGCTTTCTCTCAAAAATTATTAAAAACAGCCGTATTCTGCTATTGTGTTATCAGCTCTTAACTTAAATGATATTGTTTCGAAATTCAGGTATTCTATTTTACAGTTTGCTTTATTTTCTTAAATTTCAATATGTATTTCTCACGCGTTGCCCCAATTTAAATTTAGGCGAAAGAATTCTTATATTTTTAATTCTTTTAACTTTTAAAATTAGGATGTTTTTGTTCAGAATATTAAAATATTCGAAGTTGAAACCATTACTACAAAAAATACACTGCTTTAAAAAAAATGAATAATATAACAATTTCTCCATGACCTTCTCATCTTCCCGAAAGACAGCAAAAGCAAGACGATAAATGCATCTAGTTTACAGTAGATATAGAAAGTCCCTGAAGTTTTATAAGCTGAAGTTGTCTCTCTTAACGCAGAGAGAAATAAAAGAGCCAGAAGTGTTTCCGAGAGCTTAGTTTAAAATCTTAATAAGATGAGACCCCAAAAAAGCGCATGTTTGTAGGAGGGCCTAGTCTGAAGCCTATACCACGAAACCAGAATCTCCAAAATAATTTCCATAGCTGGTAAGCAGCAAGGCTATTTCCAGACTGGGAGCTTCTACCAAATAGGAACCTTCACCAAAAGCACCAAGTGGAAGGCTTCGAGCAAATCGCCTTTCTTCTACAGACGAGGAAAAGTGGAAGAATCGAGGTGAGTCGGCCGCAACCTTCTCACTAATTGTAGTTCACGTCCGGAAGGATTCAATTGAACGGTGGACCAGAGATCAAAACGTTCAGAATAACTTTTAGCTTCTTGCCGTACATGTTACTGATTCGGAGATTGTTTCAGAAAGATATACTGTGATTTATCGAGTGTCATTGGAAGTCTGTGAAACACATGTTGCCAATAGTTTTGTTCTCAAAATATAAGAAAACGATTTTATTTTTTTAAATTTCTTTTTAATTTATTTTTTTAAGATAAAGAATTTATTGAGATAAAAATTTCCAAATTATTGAGCGATATTTCTTTCACAGATCTTGGCAACAAAAATCATAAAACATCATTATCTTGAGCACTTGAGAACCTTTCTTTAAGAACTATAGTGGACCACTGAATTTTTTGCAAATCCTGAGATAATTCGACAAAGAAATACAAAATAAAATTTATCAGGATTTTTCATAGGATAATTGCATTATTTATGAAAAAAAGTATAAAATATTTTAAATAACCACATCCAAATAACGAGTAAAAGTTTCATGCAGACCGATGGCATCCCAAAAAATCACAATTAATTATCTTTCTACTATCTACTCAAAACTATGCCACCAACTTATTTAACTCACTACAAGTTCTAGGAGGAAGTAACTGACAATCGAAACAGTCTTTCTTCGTGTTATGCTGCGTCAAATTCCTTTGGCTTAGAGGCAATCTTTTAATCTCGTCTCCGCATATACTTTAAAGTTTCGAAAATAGCAGAAATTAAGTGTTTAATAGCAAGCCACAAAAGAAATTAGCTATACCTTTTCATAAACACGATTACATTTTTGCAAAACTCAACATTTATAGAGGTGTTTTGTTTCTGCGTTCAGTATCCATATCCACTACAAATATGACTTCATTATTATTGTTGATTTCTATGATTATTATGCCTTAATCTTCGGTTTTAATCTGCATAATTATCAGGCATCAGTTGTTGTTTGTAAATCAGCACTGACTGACTAAATGAATAATTTTTTTTTGAGATCGTAGTTCTCTTTGGTTCAACTGAATTCTTCCTTTCTTACACATCTGAGGTTTGTATGATACAAGCATCTTGAGGAACTTTTGACCTGCTGGGCGGACTGCAAGGAACTATCGTTGGTAGAGTGAATATCTTTAATCTGTCGCTTAAGCTCAGAATGTTCCGTAAACAGGGAAATAAAACGATACAGTAAACTAAAAATCTCAGCTGGTTATTATACTTTTAGTTCATAAAGTAAGAGCATAAATGGGTTTAACAAAGACAGCTGCAAAACAGCCATTTACAGCCATATTTGGATCACGTTACAATATTACTTTTATTTAAAAAACCAATAACGATGTTATTCGATGAAGAATAACTTTTAAGAAAAGTCTTATTTGGTTTAAAATCTTAAATTTTTGCTGATTTTACATGCATAAAAAGAAGATCCAAAAATTCAAGTAGAATGTTAGTTAAACCCAATATACTTGTACGAAAATTTCAGCACTGAGTTTGCTATTATTCCAATAGGCCGAGCTTGCAACCAGCCGAATGATATAGCAGATTAACTGGCAATAATTCTTACACTCCATTACAATTAACACACTTTTTCTGACATGAACGACTTTTTAGTTATTTTTGAATGCTACCTAAATAATCACAACTACGTTTAAAGCAAATCCGCAGAAATAGGGCTTGGGATAGTGAACTTGGCCGAGACTGCTTAGTGCCTTTGTTCAAATAGTTAACCACTAAGCCTCACTAATTTATGTTACACATTCAACCTGAGTGCATAACATTGCCTGAGCTGCTTTTTGATTTCGATTGCTTGCAATGATGAAAAGATGAGTGACGATGAAGTGAAGGACGACGCGGCGGGCCCGGGACCGGCTGCAAAAGGGCCCGGGTTAGCGATGACGAGGTTGCGGCCGGCCCGCAGGCGGCCCTCTAGGTGCACATCAAAAACGAGTGTTGGGAGAAAACGCTACAGTAGAAGAGACTATCTTTAATTCCTACTCTAAGACTGTGAGGTAGGGGGAAGGCAGGAGGACTTCGGTCGCAAAGCCCTGACCGACCAAGAGAGCAACAGGATCTCACAGATGCGATAAATAAATGTTGCAAGTCGCACTGATTTTTTCACTCGTCAACCAAGAAAACGCGCGATCCTTTCTCACGTATACCCGAATCGCGCGAAATGCACATGTTATTCCAATCCTTCAGGGCTTAGAAGTTACATGAATCTTCAGCACAGCAACCGAAGTCCCCTCCATGAAATTTCTGGCTTGCTTACCCTGAGATAGTGGAGCCCCATCTTTATGCAATTTTTCCTGCAAGCGACGCGATGGTACTTTTCCTGCATAAAACTGCCACTTATACTTCTTTGGGTGCAGCTCATACCCGTGGACCATGAATTTGTTCTCTAACAAGAACGAACAAGTCTTGTCTCTGACAGTTAGGGCATGCCGCTGCAGACCTGCAAGGGCTTCCTTTTAAAGATGCTGGTATAAAAACACCATACGCTACAGACTACATTTCCCTGCTATAAAATAGCAGCAGTTATATACAATACAACAACTGACAAAAAACGAACTAGGGAAGAGTCATCCGGAAGCGGCAAATAAGTTACTAGCGTTCTCCTTGCCAAACTCTGTCTGGCGCTTGGATTTAAACTCTGGAATAATCACCATAGAACGCGCAGAACTGCAGCGGCTTCAGTACAAAATGAATAAAGAGACGGAGACGGACTAAAATAATAAAAACCAGAGGTGAAAAGAAATTAGTCCTTAAGTCCAGAAACGCAAAAAGGATTACCAAAACTCTTTTTTACTGTTTTATCTTTCTTTTTTTTCTTCTTTTATACAGGTTTTTAAAAGCTGAACACATGGAGTGATCACATAGAAACTACCCAAAGATTGGTTTCTGTTTCTTAGAGGTATATGAGTGGCACTGACTTCACAGATTTACAGTACATAACATTAAAAACGTGATCTGTTTCCTTTATTTCAAAATTACAAATATACATTTTCATTTAGAAAGATGGATAGAAATATATGTTTCCTAAGAAAAGAAGAGGCGTGTTCTACGGCGATTTACATGAGCGACGAGGGTGTTTTCGCAGATGGTCAACCAAGCGCCATAAATTCTTCGCCAACGGCAATGAGAAATGGCCAACGTGATGATCAACTCTAGAGCTAAAAGGTGACACGTGGACACCGGAAACCCAGGCAAATGGACCTCCTAGATGAAAACAGGAGCCATTCACTTGGGTGGGAGGAGGTAAAGGGAAAGAAATAATACGAAAGAATGGTGAGTTCCCTGAGACACTGCAGACGTAGAGAGTGTTGGTAGTAACACTGTACATCGTAATCCCTGCCCTAGAAAGATGGCTGAAGCCATATTATGTTCAAAATATTTAAAGTTTCAGTGAGGTATATACTTCCGCTTGAGATCGCGGCCGCATTTGCGGCAGTTCGAACAAAGCGTCTTTTTTTTTTTTTTTTTTCCACTTAAATCCGGCGACACTTCAGTGCCGATGGGGGAAGTTTCAGACGAACAGTAACAGTGATATGAATTTCTTTGTTATAGGAACTGTCGCAGTGTAGGAAGAACGGTGGTGGACTACTCGTTCTTGAGCGTCGGCGAGACGATGGCGGAGGCTCTTGATACGTTGGTCGTAACTGAGGTAGCAGCTTGTTGAGCAGTGCCGGTGGGCGAAGTGGCCAACATCGACGTGGTGGAGAGGTCTGTGGCGGTGACAGGTATACCGGGAGAACGAGGAGGTGGCGGCGTACCCATACTCAGAGAAGTAGCGGCGGTTGCCGAAACACCCAGAGCCATGGATAGTGCCATGCTAGGCGGTGTGACGGGAGACACCAGTGATGGAGGACAGGACATGGAACAGCTGGTCGGAGGGTTGATCCGCTTCTCCTTCTGCCGCCTGTTGCAGAACCAGACCCTCACCACCTCCTTCTCCATGGTCAGCGTCTCGGCCAGCATAGAGATCTCCTCTGAGGTTGGTTTGGGATTCTGCAGAAAGGCCTTTTCCAAGGCATGCCTGACTGTCGTTTCGATGCTGGTGCGCTTTTTTCGCCTCCGGCCAATGGATTCAGGCGTCGTATGTGCATTGGTTAGTGCGGCCGGGTTGTTCATGGAGGCATCCGCATCCTCCAGCCACCGCTGCAACAATGGCTTTAGCTTACACATGTTTTTAAAACTGAGGTTAAGGGCCTCGAACCTGGAGATGGTTGTTTGGCTAAAATCGTTGCCATACAGTTTACCCATTGCCAGACCCACATCTCCTTGAGTGAAGCCTAGAATACAGAGAGAAACAAGACATATATATGAATACTAGCTCAAACAAACTTTTCATAGGTATAATTTAATTGATATTTATACTTATATTTTATTTACTATTTACGATATTTATTACATAATAAAAGAATTTAAAGAATAAATCACAGGAAATTTGGATTTCCAAGGCCCATATAAAAATTTCCGATTTCGTTATTTTAATATGAATATAATCGTTTTAATACAAATGTCAGTTTAAATCACTGCATTAAAATATTCTGGTGAGGACACCGCATGACTTTCTTGTACTGCCTATTAAACTATATACAGTCAAAAGTCGGTTATTCGGACACCCATAATCCGGAATGATCTATAATCCGGACCTCAAAGCTAAGAACTTTCTGCGCATGCGCCGCGTTGGCACATGCGCACAGACGTTTTACGCGTGCGCGTAAGACCTTGACTACTGCGCATATGCGTGTGCGCAAGTGCAGAATACGTTTTCGCCTGCGTGTTTAATGTATAACGGACGGTGTAAGCTAAGCTAAATTATCTAATTATCTATTTCAGTTAATGTTAATGATTGCATTGTTCCTTAATCTTCGAATTGGATCCCGCTTATTATTTTTTTGAAGACTGTAAGAGCAATTTTATAAAAGTAAACTTGAACTTTCGATTATGTCAAATAGAATTTCCGATGCTGGAACTTCCAAAGGACCTACAAAACGAAAGTATGTTTCGGTGTCCAACAAACAAAAAGTGGAATTGCTTCAAAAAATGGATAAAGACATGAAGAATGTGACAGAGAGGTTAGTGAAAACGAAAAAATTTCGATTGACAAGTTAGTCGGTATTCTCGGCACAGCAATTAACGGGACTTGAACAGCGGAACTTTGTAACTGAACAAGAACTTATGTCTTGTTATAGAATTAAAGAGAAAGTATGATCACATAAAACGAAGCAACTTAAACAACTTACATTGAAAGAAATGTTTAATAAATTAAACAAATAAATATTAAACTTTTTTTTTGTAAATTTTGATACCCTTTAGATCATAATTGTTCTTTATTTCATAAATTACGGTTTCATATTTTTAATTTTAGAATTTCTGCATGCCATATTACGAGATATAAACTGATGATCTATAATCCGGAAAAATCGATAATCCGGAATCGCCGAAGTCCCGACGAGTCCGGATTAACGACTTTTGACTGTACAATTTTTGCTGCACTTTATTTAAACTCATTTCCTCAAATTATTCTACCTTAATTAACGATCCCCCCCTCCTCAACGAAAGTTGAAATTGACATAAAAATTGCAAATTTTAAAATTAAATAGCCCAGTCAATTTTTGTCGCTTGGGAATCAAACTTCTTTTTGAAGAAAATTTTTATTTTTCCATAAAGAGTATGATAACACTTTTCCAAATATAAGAATAGGAACTGGAGACCACATTAAAAGTTATATTTTGTGTTATTTTTTCCAAAATTACCTTTTTTATACATATAAAATGAATATTTTTATCAGTTAAAACACACACATATAAAATGTAAATTAAAATTCAGAGTAATTTAACTCTGGAGATTCACAAAGTTATCAAGTGTTAGCTCTATCTAACTGCACTAACAAACTCAGCTAGCAAAATGCTAATAACGGCTTAATGTAACTCAGAGAGCTGGGTCAAGAAATACCATAATGCTAATTTTTCAAAGCTACCTCTTTCAAGAACTCTGTGTGCAAGTAGCTAATTTCCTTCCCACTAAGAGTTGAGGAAAGTGAACTGAACAGTGCAGATAAAATAATAAAATAATGGTTTAATTAGCATAAACCTTAAATATTGTCCTGTAATAAAAAAAGATCTAAAGCTGCTCATAATTTTGCATTTGAATTACCTGATAGCCTGTGCTGATATTTCAGAAGCATTTTATCTTCACATTATAGCTTTTCACTAGTCTCATAATTCCCATTCTAAAATATTTTATTATTTTATATTATTTCTAACATTTTGACTGACTGCCAGTTAATTGAGAGACTCATTCAAACATCTGCAACAGCAATGAATTTGGATGTTCAAAATAGGTATTATTATCTCCAGTTGCTCATTTTGTTGTTCTTTTTTTTACCTTAGGACAAGCAAAATCAGGTATGCTGCTATTTATTTACATGAATTAAATGGATTCTTTTCATACAATCATAAAGTTGTCAAACAACAAACAAAACATAAAGTTGTCAAATATAAAAATTTTCCATTATTAATTTTCTTTTTCGTAATTTTATGTTAATAAAAATTTATTGTTCTATTGAATGAACATGAAGAGGTTTTCTATTTAATGAAAATAAAAAATATTCCCTTGACTGATTTTAGTACAGTAAAATGACAATAAGAGAGTTTGTTTATGTTTAGAAGGTACACACACACACACACACAAAAAAAAAAAAAAAAAAAAAAAAAAATTACTTTTTTTTTAATCAGATTTTGGTTGATATAGAAATGGATTTGAATCAAATAATTTCATCATTTATTTCTGGTGAAAATCAAGTGCTTTATATTTTTTTTAACTTCAGAAATTTTGTTGATATAAAGCATAATAATAAGAAAAAAAAAAAAAAAAAAAAAAAAGACAGAGAAATAGAGAGAAGAAGAAAGAAAAAAAATCTTTGGATAATTGCAGTAAATATATATTATACATGTAATTATTATTTGGCTTTCTGGAGGAAATCTGTCCAGTCTTGGATTTTAGTTCAGGTCGGTTGTGATTCCATTAGTAGTTCTTATACCTGGAGTTTTACTGTACTTTTTTATCACAAATATTAGTGTTATTGCCAAACTTTTGTAATAAACGAATGCTAACAGAAATCATGTCTATTGAGAAATGTTCCAGTTTATATGAATTACAAAATCCTACTATATATCCAATTAAAATTTTAGTTATAGCACCTAGTTTGTATTCATTACTCAAAGGCATCTGCTTACAAAAAGAAAAAATTACATACAAAGTCGCTAAAATTTGTATCTTAACTGCAGATTAGACTTAATACCTTATCAAATTGCTTTATATAGTGATTACGAAATAAATATACTACACATGCTAAAATGCTAGAATAAATTTAGCATAACATAGTACAGGAATGTATGTCATTTATACAATTCCATGCTGCAAATGGAACAGATTTTCTTGCAAAAGAATAAGCTATAAGATAATAAAACATATGAGCACTTTAATTCCCAACATTTCTCGATCTCTTTGCTCTGCTCAAAATGCTTTCTGCTACATTCTAAAAGTATTCATTTAGAGTTGATTACCTGTCTGTAGGTTTTTAACAGTTAATCTACTCCTATTTGAATTTAATAGATTCGTTACTTAATCGATTATTAATATGAGTTATCATAAGGTGCATGGCAATATGAATTATAAGCCTTTCTGTGTTACTACAGAAGTTTTTAGAAATATGCAGTATGAGCTATACCATCACTGGTATCTTATCTAAGAGAAAATAATTCTGTACTCATCAAATATGACATACATACATACACACCTTCTTCTTTGCTAATAGTAAAGTTAATATCGTCCATACAAAAGCTCGCAAAATAAAATACCAGTTTACAACGCACATGCGATAAATGTAAACTACATTTATATCTCTGATCATTACAGCTTCAGCACCACACAGAATTATTAACTCCTGAAGTCCTTTTCATTAAGATTTGAGCATAGCCATTTACATAAATAAGTAATAAGGAATGT